CCCCCCCCCTCTCCCTAGAGAAGTAAACAACGAGCCAAACAGTTTTTTAATACGATTGGTTATATGATATAATAAGATTTTCTTTTCTAGGTATATAAGGGTGGATTGTTTAAAACTGCGACTGAGCACAAAGAACAGATCCGCTACTTCAGCCAGCAGGTGTTATTTCAATTCCGCTGTCAATAGAATTCTCTATGTTTTGTGGCCGTTTGTTAATTCTAAATTCAAATTATTGTTTCAGGACCTTCGGGAACTCTTTAGTCTTCCAAAGGAAGGCTTTGATGTTTCACCCACGCAGCAGCAACTACACGAAGAGCATTATAACCAAATCAAAATGTAAGGAACCCATGAATTAATCTGAGCAATTTTGTCTCTGATAAGGACTTGCTTTATTTTTAGTCAGCATTGTCAATCTGCAAGGTTCTTCCGGTCATAAATAGAATGCTTTAGTAAAGCTAACACACTGTTTGAGTCAAGAACAACATATCTTTCCCTTTTTCTGTGGAGTTAACATCTCGTCTCGAATACTGCATTTTACATGGCTGAATATCACAAATTTTCCTTGGGGTTAGGCATTGCTATTTCATTGAGAGAGGATATTATTATTGAGTAAATAATTTTTTAAATTCTCAACTATTTTTCAATATGACAATGGAAATTGTTTATTTTATAGGGATGAAGCTCTGGAGTCCCATGTAAAATTTCTGGAAACTCTAGGTATAGCAGGAGTTAGTCATCACAGTTTACTCTTCTCCAAAACTGCTCCTGTCCAAGTGATTCAGGAAGAAGTAGAAGAAATAAGGTGAACTAATATCTTCTTTTCGAAATAAAAGTTTTTCTCCATTTCTTAATGTCCGTCTGGTCTGACCTTTTGGTCAACCTTCCTCTTTGGCAAAAGGAGAGGAACATCATTTGCGGGACGCCCAACGTCAAGTTACTCACAAGAAAACATGCTCAATGGGTATTGTCATCACAGCCTTATCATTGGTTTTATTTAGTTTTGTTTTTGTTTTCTGATTTGCTCATAGGACTTGCCAAATTTGTGAACCATTTTGGTAGGGCTGAGTACGCCTTCAACCCAAAGGACGTAAATTTGAGCCAGAAAATCAACATCTCCCCTATTGACAGTAGCGAAATGACAGAAAGTGAAATCAAAGCAAGAATCAATCGGTTATCTCTAATATTCGCAAACAAGGTATGTCTTCTCAGATGTTTTGGAATGTTTTATGTTACAGAAAGAGTCTGGAAACTGACTCTTGTAGTGTAAATCTTTGCATAACTTTGGTCCTCTTTCATTTTTCACAGAATACTATTTCGAAGCTCCCTGATAGAGGGGCCAAATTACAAAAGCAGATTGCTGAACTGAATCAGGAGCTTGAGAGCATCGAGGCGGCGAAAAGCATGGAGACACCTCAAGTTATTGAATTGGACGAAATCAGTGGAAAGCTACACAAGGGACTGAATCTGTAAGGTTCATGTCAGAATCATATGATGCTCTGGCTATGGTTATGGCCACTGAATGACTTTGATGTCAAGTGCAGTTGAAGTCAATTTACCAATTGACTTGCTGCAAAGGGGATGAATCTTATTTACCTCATCCAAGCTCGGGATTTTGGATTCACCTATATTTTTTCAACGACTATATCGAAGAAGTGTTGGGTGAATTTTTACGGCATATGCTTATGAACCTTTGTTCTCTGACACGGAAGCAAGCTTCTCATCTTACACTAATGCAGGTAATGGAAGTTACGGTTTTGGGAAATATGTTATGGTCATGGCAACTTGCTCACAAGTTTCCGAATCCAGAAGATTTGAGATAACATAATCTTATTCATCTCAAGCACAAAGAATTCACACAAGTGTTTACAAAAAAAAAAGGCTGCTGAATGCTTATAATAATTTTTACATAAGAGGTTGCAGCTGTAAAAAAAGATCAGCGTATCCTATCTAGTGGGGGTTGTCGGAAAGGAATATACTAGGCTGTCTTACCCCTACATTTTATGCAGAGACAGATCCAATCTGCAACTTCATCCCACGATAAATGGTTTTACCGTTGAGTCAAGTCTCGGCCCTTCATGAAGCTTTCCCTGTGAGTTCTTCTGCAGCCCAAATTCATAAAAAAAAAACACTTTTATTTCTTCTAATTTACAAAAAAAACTTTCAAACCAAAACATCTGAAGGAATCTTTCACTGTGAGTTCTTCTGCAGCCCAAATGCATAAAAAAAACACTTTTATTTCTTCTAATTTACAAAAAAAAAAAACTTTCAAACCAAAACATCAAACAGAATCTTCCATGAAGCCAATGAACTCAGAAAGCTGCAAACCCTCCCCCATTACAAAATATACAACTTACAGTGGAATTCAGGGTTTCGTTTGAAAAATGTAAACTAGTCGAGTTGGAAGCTGGTTGTGCGGCTCCACCTCCCTTTCAAGTATTCCTCGACAGAGATAGTAGCTTCCGGGCTGCTATCAGGATTGGCCTCGTCCTCCAAGTCGAGCAGTGCAAGATTTATATGAGATTCTATATTTGTAGGAGATGCCACTTCTTCCTCTTCCGAGGCTTCCACTTGCTGCTTTCCCCACTCGGTTGCTTCTTCGTCCCCTTGCAATATCTTCAAGACCTGTAGTCAAGATCGGCATAAGGGGGAATACAAGATTCGGGATATGGCAGAGAAGGAAGAATACAAGAAAAGAGAGATTTAGCTTGCTCACAAGGGAAATTTGAGGTCGGGCATGAGGTGTACGTCTAATGCAGAGTGTTGCAGCTAACACCATTTTCTCGATGAGTTCATTGTTCTCGTTGCTTTCTAGATTTGGATCCAACAATTGAGAAAACTTTCCACTTTCTAGAATGGGTTTTGCCTGGAACCGATGCAAAACAGTCGTTCATTTAGACGTGGAAAGAACATTGGCCCGAAGCAGAGAAAAGAATAATCTGTGCACTACTCTATGTATCATGCTGCTAGAAGCTTTTGGCAGCTATGTACAGAAGCACCCTTCTCCACATATATCTTCCCAACAGAGAAAGGCATAAATGCTTACCCACATGACAAGGCTCTCCTGCCCTTTAGGATAGTCACTGCAGATAGGTTTCCTCCCCGATAAGAGCTCGAGTAAGACGACACCAAAGGCATACACATCAATCTTTTCAGTTACTTTACCGTGCATGAAGTACTCCGGAGCGAGATAACTGCCATAGAAGGAAACATTACGAAAAAGAGGTTGACATGAGACCTTTAAGAGCGAGTATGTAAAGAAGCAGGACACATACCCAAATGTCCCGGCAACACCCATGACCGGTATATGCTGTGAAGCATTTGAAACCGTGCTGGCAAATCCAAAATCTGACAGCTGAACCAGAAATATAAATGCAAACCAAAATGACTATGATATGACAGTTAGAAGAATTTAGATTCAATATATCAAATAAAGCAAATTAAACTAGTAAAATGGTACCTGTGGCTCAAAATCATCTGACAGAAGAACATTGGAAGATTTCACATCACGGTGAATCACAGCCGGGTCATGATCATTATGTAGATAGTCTAATGCCTCAGCAATACCAATTGCAACTTTATATCTGTCCAGCCAGCCAAAAATGGATGTGCCCGTTCTATTACCTTAATCAATAAGAGGAAAACACAATCAAATTTGAGAACAATCTAGATAAAAAGTTCTATAATGCAATAACCCATAGGAAATATCAAATGCCACCAGTTACCATGGAGGTTCTCTTCAAGGCTTCCCTTCGGTAGATAGTCGTACACCAGTATCAAATTATTATTCTCGAAGCAGAAACCAAAGAGAGAAATTATGTTCTTGTGCTGTATACTTGTGATAACTTCGATTTCCAGCAGAAATTCCTTCAACACGTCTAGAGAAGGTTTCAAGATTTTAATAGCCAGCTCCCTTCCATCTGACAGGCACCCTCTATAAACATAACTACTACCACCTTCCCCGATCAAATTCTCTGGAAAAAAACGACGGATCCATTAGAGAAGGACAATAACCAAGTCAAATCAAAACCGAAAGGTTGGAGAGAGACATACTGGATGAGAAGTTGGAGGTTACTGAAGAAAGTTCCTCGTATGTAAACAATCTACATGTGGAAGAGTATCTCTCGTGTAGACCCTCCAGCTCTTGTGGAATGATATTCAGTCCATTACAGGGGGAAAGTGGACTGGATACAGATTCTGAACCAGACCTTAGAATGGAACCATCTTCACCATCAACACTGTAAGAGCAATCTTCATCACAAACAGAATGTTTCAGTTTCTTGTCAGGATGGATTACAGATGCTGAATGCCGTCCTCGCAGCCTTGAACCCCACTGAAGTAGAGCCATCTTAGCTGAAATTTTGCTCGAGATTTTGCGTTTACATACATATAGTCGGCGAAGAAAGGGCCATCCTGGCTTCGACTGGAGTGGACCTGAATTATCCTCATTTGCTTGTATTGGCACTAAAGCCAAAGAATCATCTGCACCTGAATTCTCAGGACACTGCAAGGATGAAGAACAACTAGTTTTCATCCAGCGTGAACTGGCTATTGCAGAACTCAATCTGTCTGCCACCTTTGACACTTCGATCACACTGTCTGATGGTACACATACTAAAGAGGAAGTATCCATATGTGGATCCTCATCCCCTGCAAATCATCACAGCACAAAGCTGAGTTTTACAAAAAAGCTTGTCTGTACAACAACAAGAAGTACCTCAAGAAAAACCAACCAAAATCACAGTTACACATACCGTTGCTGCTAGATACTCTGCGGAACATGATTTTGCCGCTCTTGACTGCGAAAACCGAGACATCCTTGACGAGATTCCTGGCACAGTACTTGGCCACAGAGGCTGATGAACGGATTGTGTGGTGCTTCCTAGAGGAACCCACGATCAAACTTGCTGCTCTATAGGATTTCGCTTCCTCTACTAGAATTTTCCTAGCTGACTTTCCTCTACAAACCTTTAACTTCAAATCTACCTGAAGAACATTCATGGTTTTCAGACAACTTATTCAATAGTTTCCCATATCAAGCGAAAATTTTCACTTTGAAACCCAATTCCAGAGTAAATTTCACAACTTTCCTCCGCAGACGAACAGTAATCCAGAATTTACACCCAGAGAAAGTAAAGAACTTGCCTGTTTCAAGTTACAGAAGCTTTCATATACCCCAAGCATGGAATCAAAAGTCCTGACGAGAGAAATAAGCGACGCTGAGCCATCTGCGAAAATTCCCGCGACAAAATCAATTACACAGAATTCGGGAAAATGGTCGAATTGTTAGATCGAGACGCAATGAGGAACGAACCGACGGCGTAGTCGAGGACGTGAAGAGCGACGATGCGATCTCCAGGACGTGCCACGTTCACCAGCGCCCACGTCAGCACTTCTCGTCTCCTCTCGTCGGGTTTCACCCCGACGATTACCAACGCCTCCGCCGTGGCATTGTCGCATCCGCCACCGTCCACTCCGGTGCCTCCGCCGTCTCCGGCCGATTTCATCTCCCCTCTTCTCCTCCTCCTCCTCCTCCTCCTCCTCCTCACTGTCAGACTTACGATCCACACACTCTCTCTCTATCTCTCTCCTCTCTGTGAGGAAGCGCTTTGTCGTTGTCGTGTAGTGCTTGGGGCAAAGAAGGAGCGAATCACGTTAACTGTCTTTGGGAGAAATGTGGCGATGTTTGCGCCCTTTGGTTTGAACGAATCTGGACCGTCCATTCGCGCCTCATGATCTGATCATTCATTAATAGAAATAAATAAATGATAAAATAGGCATTTTGCACGAGGGAAGTGTACAATAATTGGGACATAATAATATACCATCATCTCCTTTTATTTCCATTCCACGCCTTAATTCCTCCTTTAATCTAATTACTATAATTAACTTTCATTAACTGTTAATAAATAAATAAACATTAATGAGGTGTTCATAATATGTTATGTTTAGTTATATTAATTGATTTAAAAATAACAAGTTTGGGGGATTTAGACTAAAATGCTTTTTTTTGTCATTCTTTAAAAAAAAAGAGATGTCATCGTTGGAATCTGTCATTCTCTTTTGAAAATTTGGGATGGGAAAAGAGAAAGCAAAACAAAGTTTTTTTTTTTTTTTTTAAACGGTAAACTTGTATATATGTAAGCTGCCCAAATACAGAAGTTTTGTTCCTTGTATTCAAAAAAAAAATCATAAAGAAAATGACCCATAATCTTCTTTTGATTTAAAACCACAACACAAAAGTCATGTATGTATGTATGTATGTATGTATGTATGTATGTATGTATGTAGTCATGTATGTATGTATGTATGTATGTATGTATGTATGTATGTATGTATGTATGTATGTATGTATGTATGTATGTATGTATGTATGTATGTATGTATGTATGCATAAATTACTAGATTAGTGGAGAGGTTAATTATTAATAAATAAACATGGTGGCCACGACGTGGACGTGGACATGCACGTGAAACACCAATACTAACATTTCGAGACGGAGATATTATAACCGTTGTGAAGCACAGCTCAGCTTTAGCTTGGATCTACGGCAAGGAGACCGTGGCTGTTCCATTTAATCTTTATTTTTAAAATAATTATTACTATAATAATAATATTAATCCACGCTTGGGTCGGAATTAGTTTAGGTCTTTGGGTTTGAGATCACCCGATTATCAAAAAAATATTAATCCACGCTTTTTGCTAGTGTAGATGTGCACATTAACAGCACATGATTCGATTGCTCTGTCAAGGAATATAAATTATTCTCTATTAGATTTGCTAAATTCTAAAACTTAATTTGAAAAATGGGTTTTTAGATTTCTATAGTTTTTGTACAAGTACGTGTAGAGATTTGACTGTGTCACTTTCTCTCCCATCGTGTTACGGTGTGGTGATTTTGTCGCTAGGGTTTATCTGTTGCGAGTTTTAAGTTCGGTTAACTTTTAGGGTTTTTTCCTTTTAGGGTTTTTTTTTCGGGGAAGTATTCGTCGAGAAGGACGAAGATGGCGGCGCGTCGGATGACGATGCTGGCGCCATTGTCGTCTGCAACGTCAGTCATGTTCTCTGTTTCCAGTGGATCAAACTCCCGTATTTAGGGATCGTCTGGTTTAGGGGCTTTGATGAATATAGTCTGATAATATTAGGGGTTTGCTTGAATTGATAAGTGATACGAGGAAATGCAATTCATTACAGGATCGCGCGCGCACACACACACACACACATATATACATATATATATATATACATGAATATCAGGGCCGTCTCAAACTTTGATGGGGCCCTGTACATTTTATAAAAATTAATTAATAAAAATATAAATTTATATAATAAAAATTAATAATAAAATTATTTAATGATTTTGAAAAATTATTAATTTCGAATTACGAAAAAAATGTAATTATCGTCAATAAAGTTTGTAATGTTTTTATGTATTAATGATAATAATATTAATTTATAAAGGAAATCCATAAATTAGGATTCATAAATACAAACTATTTTCAATTTTTTAAATAAAATGATTAATTTCTTATTAAAAATATATGAATTGTGAAATCAATTAAAAAATTCAACTTAATATTGAATTTGTATTAATAATAAACTAGAAAAAGTAAATTTTATAATCTAATTAATTTTTATAGTATATTTATTTATTTATTCTATAATAATTATATACTATAATTATACCTAAAAAATTATTAGAATAATGATTTCACAAAATTTAATGTTAAATTATAAGAGATATTTTATTTTTATAATTAATGATAATAATTAGTTTTTAAAAAGTGGGGCCCCCACATTGATGGGCCCTGTTCAAAGGCACCTGTTGCACCTGCTAAAAGACGGCCCTGATGAATATGTATGAGCTCGACCTTGTTCTTGGAGATCCATTTGGTAATCCAATGGAGCCAAGATTCTTGGTAACGATCGATATAACTAAGGTATTGTGATGGTATACTGTATATACGATCAAGGAGTAGGAACGGACACCGCCGTTGACGGAGCTCTTGCTTTTCACTGGATTAAACGCGGTTTTTGCATGCATGTGCATTGATGAGTTTCCCCTTGAGCCATCTAACAGGTTCGTCTTCTTCGTTTGCTTTGTCATTTCCCTTCTGAATCTTATCCAGCACCAAGAAGAACACCACTCACCATCATCATCATCATCGGGAGAAGTGATAAGGTAGGCCTGGGATGGTGGTGATGATGATGATGATGCATGTGTAGATCATATATACAATATATATAACCCATGATAATACAATTCGCGTGCATGGCTGTTGCCGATAAGATCTTCCAGATAAACACAGACGTGATCTGAAGTCTTGGATTGTCGGTGTTACCAACTGTCCGGATATGACTATACTCTTTTCTTTTTTTTTCATCGTAATTTATTATTATTGTTATTTATTAATCCTGTTCTTCTGTTTTGTATAGTTCCGATCGTATAGGGGACCGGAGCATGGCCCAATTCTCAAACTCTGGCTATATATATTAATAATCGACTAGGTATTAAATGGACGTGGGAATAAATTTAAAGTTTTAAAAATGGAATTTTCGAAAAACAAAAACGTTTATAACAAATGTCGGTCAACGGCGTATAAATTGAATGAACATGATTTTTTTTTTATAAAACTAGAAAGCCCAGATAAAAAAAGTAATCCAAATCTGAAACATACAAATCCATGTACATATATATATAATTCAAAGGGTAATCTTCACGTAATAACGTGTGTTGACCAAATGCATGGTGGATTGATTACAAAGAAATCCGAGTAGATTAAGACAGAAATGAATTCAAAGTTTCTGATATATATATGGCCCCCTACCTTGTCCTGGACGGTGACACGAGACCCATCACTCACCATGCGTTTTTATCAAATACAGAAATCGACCGACCAACCCCTCCACGTCACGATGACTACTGCATATAATAATAATTATTAAAAATATTTCGCTATCGATGTCATCAAAACCCTAATTATCGGCGACAGTGTACTATTTGCTCTCTGACCCTTCACCCAATCGTGTCAAAGACACGTGCTTTTATTGTTGTGTCAAGATTTTGTCTTATTGTCTCTCCACCATTCATTGCCTCCTTGTGTTTCCCATTTTCATTTTTATGTTTTTTTTTTATAAATCTTATCTTATATTTTAATAATATCAATGTATTTCACTAGAGTTTCCCTCGAGTTTACGTTCCCGTCAATATGCGCTTACAATCTTATTATAAAACGTTGGAATGTTAGAGAAAATACAACGAGTCTATATAACATATAGCGTAAAATATCATTAGTGAATATAATATAAGAATATTATGAATATGAATGAATCTGTTTTAGTATGACTGAAACAACATATTCTAGTGTTATTATCCATGCCCAATAAAATTAAAAACCCTATGTTCTCATCATATTGATATAATTCCGTGACTGTTCATTATTATTGTTGTATAACTCGAACTTAAAACTTTATACCATATATATTATCCCGACTGGTTTATTATAAAATATATCCCTTTTATTAAATAAAGTATGAAAATCTAATCACTAACAAATGTGTAGAGCAGTTAATGAAATGAATGATATAAGGCAAAGTGTCGAGCATATGAGGGGAAATGGTCAATGTCACGTAGACATTTATTTGCTTCTTTCGGCGTACGTATAATATTCTCAATCAAAGAGGTTGTCTCTTTGGTCTTTCTATGTGATCGATCACACGTACATGTGGTAGGTTTGAACCATGTCTCCATTCATTTAATTTACATATACTCTATGAATCTAAACATTCCAATAACTAGGTTATATGGTATTTATCGTATAATTTTTTATTATCAATCTCTACGAATTTTCTAATTAATCCAAATTGGGATAGTGTAACCGGTGAAAACCGAAGTGCAAAAAATGTGTTTTATATACTTTAAATGGAGCATTATCAAAAATACTCTCCATTTGCTATTTTGACTTCAAGGCATACTATTCTTTAACTGTGACCCTATGATCCATGTGATCAGAAATTTAATCTTGGTCATTTTGACCATAACGTTAAATTTATGATGATACATACCTATTCATTATGTTCATATCTTATATATCTCACTAATCATTTGATACAAAATTTTTAAATTCAATGTTATGACCAATATGACCAATATTAAATTTCTGGTCATATGAGTCATATGGTCACAGTTGAAGAAGGATATGCGTTGAAGTCAAAATAGCAAATATAAAGTATTTTTGATATAATGTTATTTTAAATTCGAACTTTAATTTAGAGAGAATGTATATTTAAAATGATATGGTTGATTCGGTCTCGAGGTTAATGTGGATTATGATCCAAATATTGGGTTACAGAGAAAAAAAAGAATTTACAAATTGCATCATAAGGATCGCCTGACGATCCAAACGGCACACATTAAAAAAAAAACGTGTTTGTCCAATGTAGAAGATTCGAGTATTTAGATATAAATATCAAACTTTCATTTCTCTCGAGCCAAAAATAAAATATGTTTTGTTTGGCCCGACTAAAAAAATTAAAAGATACTTTCTAATTTTTTAAAGAGTCCATATAAAATGGTTAAACGTTGAAATCTGTTTGTATATGCGGTTGGTTATTATATCGTAATCGATTGAAAATATTTGGATTCGCCAAAAAAAAATGATGATTAAGATTTGTATTTATATGGTTATAGAAAGTTTAGTTATTTCCAATATAATTTATATCATTGATGGGATATGTTATTTTTGGGCATTTGAGCAAGGATACATTTGGTATCACAACACGTGGTTTGTAATAATAGCATAAATTACGTAAATAAATAATATAGGACTATGTTATATATATATATATATATATATATTCTATTTTTGTTTTAACATTTGTAGTAAATACATTAATTACAAAGCGGGAGATGAACATGTGCAATCTCTGCCGCGCCTTTATTACGGACCTTCTGCTCTCCCAACTCCTTCCAATTTCTTCTTCACCTCTCTCTCTCTCTCTCTCTCTCTCTCTCTTTTGGATAGGG